CCGATCGTCTAATTTACGCGGGGTCGCGAAACGCTCGAACGTTTCGCTCGCTTCCTCTCCCTCCTTCTCCTCCTCCGCCTCCTCCATCTTCTCGCGCTTGGGGCAGACGCTGCGTCATTCTCGCGCGACTGTCTCTTTATCGCGCGCATACCGGGACTGTCAAGGATCTGCCCCAGCGGTTTGATAATAGGCTTGAAATGCCTTTTCAACGCCATGTCCTCCTCGATTCTACCGGTCTTCAGAGCGCGGTATTTCTTGCGAATCGACTCGCTCGTCTTCTCGATCTCCCTCGCGATTTTTTCACGATCGCGCACGTCTTCCATGTTCGTCTCTGGCGAAGTATCGAAAACGACTGACCACGTTACGGTATCGAGAACTCGTTAAATCCTTTTCTGTATCTCCCATCTTTAAGCGCACTGTCCTTGTCTATCACTACGAATCCATATTTTTTTCGCCAATAGTCGCGACACAACAAACAAAATTCGTCGTATGACATGTCGGTACTCACGTGATCGTTGTAAACGTGTTTCAAGTTGATACCATCCTGTTTGAACAGGATCAGCAGGTTCGCGTTGTCGCGTATCAGATGTTTAGGTATCCTCGCGTACGTCTGACAAAGATAGAAACAGTCGACGTTCGCACTGCGGCCCATGGAGAAGTACTCTCTCACAGCATCCTGCTTGTCGCATGCCACGTCATCAAAGATAAAAATAGAATTTGGATGCGCCTCGCTCAGTGGAACGACGTCGCTGTTGTTGGAGAACGTAAAATAGCCGATTTCGTCGATAGACGTAAATAAATCTTCGAGATATCGATACTTTGGCTGCTGCAGCGATTTCGAGTAGACGTACACGTTCTCGAACCGCACGCCGTTCGGACTCTCGAGCTAGCTTACGTGAACGTTGGTTTTACCGCAATTCGACGGGCCGCAAACGATCGCGCGTATAGTGCTCGGTAGCACTTTGCCGTGCTTGCGCTTCTCCGCACCGCCTCCCATCATTCGCGATTTCGCGTCACAGTTTGTGACGCGT